TGTCAAAAATATAATAGGATGTCCAGAAAGATCTCATTCTGTAGATAATGAAGGGAGAAACGTTTCTTGGAGAGTTTCGCCTCAACATTTAAGGTTTTAAGACCATAGAACGCTTCGTTTAGAATTTATTAAGCTATAAATGCTACCCGAGTGTTGCGGGTTGCATTTGACATGAATTTGACATTTGCTTTTTTAACAAATACTTTATATTTTTTAAATCAAAGTGCAATTCATCACGTGTTCGTGAAATTCTCTTTTTTTTACCTCATTTAGTTGCGTGTGAGAGCAGCAAAAGGTATCTATACTACTGAAATAATATAGGAGGCGATGGTATTAAGTGGACGTGGAAAACTAATTTAATTTCATTGGATTCCATTCGGTGAAATGATTTTCCACACAAGCTGCATAGCTGGGTCGACTGCAGTTCGGAGGTGAATTCTGGCAGCCGGCTGCTCCGATCGGTAGTTTTCCGTGATTTTTTTTTTCAATCAACGCCTGGCGAATGCAATACCCTAACAAACGGGTCATAAATCGCGCGTGATCTTTCCTTCCTCTTCATTGTTCTATCCTCACCCCCTTACACACACACACTGCACTACCACACATGCCTCGACACAAGTCGGGAGCTTAGAGCTTCTCCCAAATGGGTGGTGCCGCGCTGGTGGGAGATACCTGGTTGGGGAAAATCCCGCTAGCCGACGGTAGGTTGGCGCAGGATCTGGCCATTCAGAAGGGGGAGATCACCGGCGCCCTCCCGAGAAAAAAAATATGCTCTTCACTTACGGGACTAACGACTTCAGTAGTTGAGGCACTGCAGTGACATCTGTTGATGCCCTGAGCCTCCTTCGTCGATTTGATGAATGCCGCTTTCATTTTGTTATTACACAGTGATTAACGTTCACCATAAAGATTATTTTGAGCCAGTTGATTTGTTTTCCCTTCCCCTTGCCCATTGGCGGAATTGAACGAATTTGTTTTCTTTTGGTGGCATATTTTCTGGTGGCTGATCTGGCAACCCTGCCGAACAGAACGATACAGGAACCTTTCCGGATGTTGATTATTAGTTCGGGCATGCACACGTGTTCATCTCGCCTCGTGCGCCCCCTAGCGTGTAGTGCTAGGAAAGGGTTGGGGGGAGAACCTCTCACTATCCCAGACGTGCCGTTGTTTGGAGAGGGAGGATGGGGGAGGGAAGTGAGGAGAAAGGGAGGGAAAAAAGATGTTTGATGGTGATGGTGGAAAGTTAGTGTATGAAAATGGAAATCTAGTGAAATGAGCCGGTGTAGGGGGGTGGCCTGAAATGAGCTGGTATAGGCTCATGAATGGTGGAATGAGCTCTAGAATGGTGAAATGAGCGGGTGCAGGGGGGTGGCCTGAAATGAGCTGGTATAGGCTCATAAATGGTGAAATGAGCTCGAGAATGGTGAAATGAGCCGGTGTAGGCGATACCGGAAGAATGAGACGCCCGATTAGCATATGACGTGGAAGCTGCTCCTGACTGCTTGCTTTGCGAGGGCGCGGCGGTGGGCGCTCGCCAGCTGTTTCCTAACGGACGGCGCACGCGCAGAGGCGCTGGCTGGCTCGCCGCCACATCCACATCCACCCGCGGCCAGCGACGCGCGATGGGCGTGGCACGGGCGTGGGTGGCAACTTTCTTCGTCTTCTTCTTCCCTCACTTTTTCTTCTTCGCCTTCTTACGGCTCTCATTTTTCAGCTTCGGCTTCTTTAGGCTCTCCTTTTTCAGCTTCTTCCCTCTCTTTTTCATCTTTCCTCCCTCCTTTTCATTTCTCCTCTTCTTTATCGTCTTCTTTTTATTTTTCAAAAGCCGTCTTCTCCTTCTTCATCTTCCGGCTCTCCTATTTCTGCTTCTTCACTCTCTTTTCATCTTACCTCCTTTTCATGCCTCCTCTTCTCTATTGTCCTCTTTTTATTCTTGAAAGTTTTTAATCTCTTTTCGATTCCACCTCTAATTTCTCATCTTCTTCCCCTACATTTTCTTCTTTTTTTCTGCTTCATTCCTCTCGCCCTATTCTTCTTATTCCTCCTCGTCTTACCGGTTCAGTTGGTTTAGAGCAGTAGCGGATCTATGGGGGGAACATAGGGGCCATGCCCCCCCCTACAAAAGGCCCAATCTTCCTTTATTTGACAAAATTGATTTAAATATTTATGTTAGAATTACGTAATTATTTAAAAAGTAGTATTGTATACACTACAAAAATAATATACAGAATAATTACAAATATTTATTATTTACCAAACATCTATGATGACCCCCTCTAAATCGATCGGCTAGATCCACCCCAGGTTGTCTCAGCAGAGACTCTGACTGGGAGGTCCTAGGACTCTAATCCCGACGTATCAGAACTTTTCACTCTACAGAGCTGGATTGACTTCAACCACTGTGTAGGGAGAATATTCTAGCCGCCGGCTGCACTATTCGATAGTTTTCCATGGATTGTTCGATCCAGACGATTTTCGGAGCAGCTCCCTAACAAACGTCACGGGCCGCACGCGATCATTTCTTCCTCATCTTTAACCTCCCTCTCTCCTTACACACACACACGCACAAATCTACCACACATGGCCGGAGACCAGTCGGGAGCTTTAGAACATGCTTCCCTGGAGAAGATACCTGGAGAGAGAAATCTCACGATCCGACGTGTAGATGGGTGCCAGATCTCACGTTCCAGCTGGAGAAAAACACGGCATCCTCCAGTCAGAACATGCACTACACTTACGGGATTAATGGCAAGGCCATTTGACGGTCCTGGAAACAAAATTATCAATAAATCTTCTGTTTCACCCTCGTCTAATTCTTCCTCTTTACTTTTTCTTTAGGTGATTATCACCCACGACTAGGAAAGCCCTGCCTATCTACCGGAAAAATGTGGAAGTCTGATTTATCATATGTTGGGCCAAGGCCTTCGCAGTGATTTTAATTTTTTCCGCTTAGACATTATAAATGGCAACAATGATAGGGCTATGTTTATCGATTAATCGTCCCTTCTGGATTTAGAAAATATGCGAAAATCTAAAGAATTGACGAATATTGGAAATTTATTTTGGTAGATTGACCTACCATTATTTACTATTGTTTATTATTTTATAATTCAAAATCAACTTGATTTTTTCGTTTTGAACATACGTATTACCATGGTACTTACTAGGAAGACTGGTATTTACATACTAAAGGAAGTGTTATAATGCTGTGGCGAAAATTGCGATTTTTCGTCAGAAAAACTTGTTTTTTCGGGCCCGTTTAACAAAAAAATGGATAATCTTTCTTCATATATACAGAAAATTACATTCTTTAACACATGTAGTTAGACTCCATGTTTTGTGGGGCCTTGATGAAGAAAAATTTATTGACAATGGAAATTAATTTCCTCTTGGAAAAAAATATCACCTCAGTGCCACTAATTCCAACACTAAGAAGCATGGCAAAAATAGGCAGCCAAAGGTCATAATCAAAGAAGTCTCCCCTGAGGTGAAGGTAGAGGATCCGGAATGGGGATCTTATTGATGACCTACTACCACTCAGTTTCACTGTGAAAAAAATGATGTGTCCCACATGCACTACAACTGGCAGCGGCGACTCACGACTGCTAGTTCCAGTTTCTAACTAAATGCTACTTGAGACTTAGGAAAAAGGTCTAGAGAAATTACCAATGAAAAACATACGATGCAATCAAAAATAATTAATTTTTAGAGTCAAATAAGGATATTAAAATCTTCAGTTCATACTGCTAATATATTTTGTTGTTTGCATCTCTGTATTAATTAATATTAATGTATCTCTATATTAATAAAATTAGTAACTCTCGTAAAATTCATTAATTTTGACATCATTGAATATAGTGAACCAAAAATGTTAGTCCCCAGAAGTTCACTATACCCGGTGTCAACTATATCTCTAATAATGTTTCTCTCAAAATCTGTTAGTTTTTGAGTACCGGGAAACAAAATGGCATATTTTCCAACATTGGAACCAAATTTTCCAAGAAACTGCCACAATTTTTTTCTCCGAAAATCTATATATTGGAAAATAGTTCCACTCTCCATGAGATTCTAGGCAAGGCTGGCAGGAATTGTGAAAGATGAAAAGAGATGATTAGGGTAATATACTATTGTCTATCCAGATTGCAGTGGCATATTTACAATTACTATTTAACTAATGAATATACACAATGTTTTATGAAAGTCCAGAAGACCGAGTTTGTACTTTGGATATGCAATTGATAAACACAGGGGTGTTTTTCATTAATCGGGTAGGTAAAAGGCTTGTATAATGAGTCATGCATAGCGAAGAATCACTGCACCTTACAAATAATTATGTAATTGAACTTTGATTTCTGAATACATCTTTCCACTGGATGTACTGTCTACATGTTAATGTATTAAAATATAATTTAATGTGCAGTAATATGTTAAACATCTAAAACTGTAATTACACCAAAATTTATAAAATAAAAATGTTTTTAGTTCATTCAGATTATCTTGTGAACTAAAAATCTTTATCTGTGAATCCATTCTTTAACTCTTGTTTTCAAAAGCAAGGGCAAAATCAAAATTTATAAGTATACACTTCCTGCTGCTAAACATATGACAGTTCTATGAACATGTTTGGATCACAGTATTTCTTTTGTGGAAATATTTTGAGATTTTTCTTCTGAATGTATGAAATGAAGGTGATCATTGAATTTCCCTGAGTCCTTCAATCGAGTGTTTCACAAAACACAAAACAAAATGAAACACAATACAATTTTTTAAAAAAAATTTATTGCAATCTCTTATACAGTTAGGTTTCACACTTACCACCTGAGATATTAGTAACATTATACTCTTCATGAATGTATCTAAAAAATTACATTTCTTAAATAGACTTTAAATACTGTTGTAACAAAAAAAAGTAACTTTAACAAATTCTTTTAAAGCTGCACTTAAGACTTCATGTAATTTGCGTATGCTTCTTCAAACATAGGCCGACACAGCATTTTTACCTGTAACTTAGAACATAGTAAGAACACACCCGACAGTTTCCTATGCAGTGAATAGATCTCCTCAGGAGGAGGGCAAAGTCTGTGTTTTATCATCGTTGGCACCAATTGTTGAATCTCCCTGGTGGTGTTCTGTGCTCCAAAGTCAAATGGTGTTTGAGATCGGAAAACTTCTCCGAGAATCATGACTGCATCAACATGTGCTTCTTCCATAATCTGGTGAAAAAGATATATATACTTCTAAGAGAAGGTATTTTCAAAATCAGTAAAAAAGGTCTCATAAATGAAAATAAATTAAAAATAATAATAAAAACAAAAAAAATATTGTCCACTGATACAAAATTAATTGCATTTAGAGTTGTTGTTAATGTTAATACAATTATGTGCATAAATATTCTTAAATTTCATACATGGGGTGTATAATATCCTATTTAACCGGTTTCAAATATTCAAGCATTATATATTACTCTTGTTTATAAGTTTTCCACCATTTTCAAATTACATTACAACTAGAGTTTCCCCAGAGCATTAGTGGTAAAACGTATCAACTGAAGTCCTGCATTTTTGCTATTTTACACATCCTGAAGGTTAAAACTTTTTAAACAATTTAATGTAAAACCTGGCCCAAACAAGTCTAATCAATTTCTTGGTCAATTTTGCTTAAAAAATTTTACCTATTTTATGGTGTTGAGAATTTAGTGTTGGAAATATTTGCTGGATAAAAGAATAATGAAAATATGAAATTTACTGCCACACGTTATCACAGTTCCAATGCTTTGGAGAATGAAAATATAACACAAGTTCTGTCACAGTATCACTATTTAGAAAAAAATTGTTGTTTGGATTTTAAAATTTGATTTTAATATTTTTGTAATTGTTGTCTTCACTATCTGTCAATATTTTCAATGTCCTGAAAATGTCCAATACATGCATATACATAAAACCCATCATTCTGAAATCTTTCAAGAAGTTCAAAACAAATGTTCATGTCACAAAACAAGTTGTTTTCTAATTGATAGGAAAAGTCAAGATTCTACAATGAACCTCTGAATTAAGTACATTTTAAAGTATAATTCTAACAAATCAATGAATGCAATGGCATAGTACACAATAAACCAGCAATATGACCTTTCTGCACATTGAAAAACCTGTAAACATTTTTGATAATAACATGTTATGTTCTAATATAGTTACTGTTAAACAGAGAATATCTTTACTTCAATATCAGTTACAAAATCTCATACACTATAAACTCTCTATAACACACTTCTTTAAAACAAGAAACTCCCAATAATGTAAAAGTCACTTGAGTTAAGTAGATTTACCCATTGGCCAACATTCAACACACACTCCATTTAACAGAAACTTTCTAAAATGAAAGTACTTGGTCCCTTGGTTTTGTTGTAAAAATTTTACATTTTAGCCAATTACCTTTGATTCATATCCTGTGAAAAAGCCAAGTTCCTTGGAAAGCTTCAAAACCTTCTGCCTGTCTTCATCAGCAGCTCCTCGGATCACCTGAATGTATTTGTCCATAAATTCTTTGCTGTACTCCCGTGAAGCACCAAAGTCCAAGAGAGCCATCTGTATATTCAACAAGCAGTTGATAAGAATAGGAAATTATAATGAAGTTCAATAATATGAAAACACAAAAAGTAGAGAGTAGGTTAAGGGGGAGGATAAATTTTCTCCTGGCCTATGAATACATCTTAGTGACTCAAACAAGAAAGAAAGGTTACATATGAAAAACATGTTACAACATACTTCACTTACCTACTATTGCTTTTGCAACCTCAACCTGTATCTGTAACCTCACAATTCCCCACACATCCTTCCTCACCAACCTGGACAGGCCTTACTCCCTTTATTGATGCCATTGGCAACATTCACTGGTATCTCATTTACAAGTTATCCAATATCATATTTTCCCACATACCACATCCATACTTGAGAGTCCCAACTCCATTACATACATGTTTACATAAACATGTAAACCTGCTTGGCACATTTACAATTTGTAACATTTTATGCAATTACGAAGTTGCCAGAGCAGCAATGCTATCTGAATTCCAGGGTATCAGAGAGTATAACAGTATTTCAGAGAGAGTATTCATGAAATTATTTAGTTAGTTTAATTGCAGACCCAAACACAAAAATGTGTACTACAGTTCCTCCCCCACCTTCATCTTTTGTTTGTCATATCATGTTAACACTAGTTTCTATCAATTTGGTGAACCACAGACACTAGTTGTTCATTTTCTGCCAATTTGCATTATTTTTAGATTTTGTGTACATGTTGCTTATAAATTAATCTGTATTCAATTGTTATTTGCAATCAAATTACTTTATCCTATTGAATGTGCATGTTATGTGCATATAAATTAGTTCTATTCCAATATTACAAAGAAGGAAATTGAAAATGACAAATTGAGCATTTTTCAATAACAAGTTTTCCTTCTTATGATGTTCTAAATTGTCAGTCCCTTAAAAAACAGAAATTGTTAACTGGGTTCTTCTGTATATAAACAAATAAGAATAAATTAAATAAAAAAAAAAGTATACCTTCCGAGTTTCCGGGTTGTAAAAGAAGTTGCTCCAGTTGGGATCCGTTTGCATATAACGGAATTCAAACAGCTCTTTCAGGCACAGCTGCATGATCAGGAAGCAGATGTGCTCTCGAATTTCCAGATTTAGATCCACACACTTGTCCACAGGCATTCCATCAATGAGCGTTGTCGAAAAAACTTGTTTGGTACTGAGATTATCTGGACAAACAGAATTTTGTTTGTCACTCAAATAAAAAAGTAAGATTAATGCAGAATATCTCAGAATAAATGTTACAAATTTTTAGAGCATGTAGGGGGGTGAAGATGATCACTATTTGCCAATAAACTTGCAGTGTGAAATTTTATATAATGAAGTTTCACATGTCACATTTGCCCCTGATGTTAAGCAATCCTATGTGCACAGAGGCATAGGGCGCTTTACAACCTGAGATCTCGTGTATGACTAGGATGGGCATCTCCTAGAGCAGCTTAACACTAGGCACACGAGCGTTACTTTTTTGCCGAGGACAACAATATGTGACGAGAAACTTCACGTAGAGCAATTTGATTTGTGACTTTCGCCCCTCATTGTCAGGCAGTTCATTACACATTGGTAGAGTGGAAACCCAAAACCATTAATGCATCTGTCTCACCTGTGATACCTCAAACTGCACTACGAGTGCATGCAACTTTTCTTCAATTAATTGATTGATGTTACCAGACATGTCAACTATGGTAATTAGTCCCATATGTGTAGTGTATGTTTTTATCATGAGTAGTGTGATCTTCCTGACGAGATCTGGCTCCATCCTACATGTCGACTTGTGGTGTTTCCCACCCAAGCCGACGTGTTCACCAGCCACACACTAGCCAAGAACAAGCTTTAAGTTCCCTGTATGCGTGGTAGTGTAACGCATCTAAGTGCATGTGTGTGATTGTGTGTAAGAAAGGGGTGAGTTTAGGACAAGGAAGAGAAAGGAAAGATCGCATAAGGTATGTGGTCCATCTGCTAGGGTATAGCTCCGGTGTTCGGCTGGTGTTGATTGGAGAAACCATGGAAAACTACCCATCAGAACAGACAGCCTATAGTTCTCATCCAGACAGCAGCTGAACTCAACCTAATTATGTAGTTAGTGTCGAAAACCCTGTCATCGTTAAGACTCAAACACTGGGATCTTCTGGTAAGAGACGCTGCAGTGGCATCAATTGAAGAGCCACCTTAGCCAGCAACTTTGCTTCAACAATGGCCTACATTCTCTCACCCTAGTATAATAAACAGTTGAACATAAAAATTAACAGCAAACACTGGTAAAAACTTTTCAAAAAAAATCTTTGTTAACGTGAATCAGACACTATTTGCAGCTGCAGACAGGAACACCTATATGGGTTCTTTCCTGAGGTAGGTCCCAGTCCCTTCCCAAAAATCGCCTTGCATTTTCCAGACAGTTAGAACAAAGGATAATGACAACAAAAGCAAAATTATTGAGAAATTTTCAAAAGAATGCGAGTTAGAAAAAGAAAAAAATTCTAATGTTTTTTTAGTAATGCTTTTGATCAGGTGTCTGCATACAGTGAAGCAGGCATTTTGGTAATGTTAAGAATAAAGACTTCAGTGCCAGTAATGTTCTAAATTCTCCATTAACACCTTGTTAAAAAAGGTAACACCCAAGGAAACTGATTTATAATATTCTATATATGCAGTTTTAGCTTTGAATTTCCAGTGGTTGGCATTGCTTCAAAAACTTTATTGGCAAGTACTGTAAATAATACCTCACTTTACGCATATGCAGATACTACCAATCAGGGGCAAATGTCACATGTGTAATGTTATTACAAAAAATTTCCCACTACATACTCATTGTTAAAAAGCAATCATTATTGACTCCTTACATACACTTGAAGTTTGCAACATTTCTATACGAGAAAACCTGTGTGTCGGCAGGATCGCTTGATATTAATTTCAAAAATCCAAAAACAAACCAATGGATTTCAAATAGAAAGCTAGGTCTCTCAAACTGCCAAGTGGCATGGATTCCAGTACAATATAAATGGAAATATAAATCTCACCTATTACATCTGGTACAATGTAATCTGGATAAGGCTTCAGTAGTTCCTTGAATTTCTTAGTGCAGGCAGCTTCTCTTACATAATCTACTTCCCAAGCGAGTTCTCGTTTGGCCACTTCCACTATGTTGTCTATGAATATTCCTGCAGCAAGAGTTTTTCTGTGTATATGTAAAAATCTGATTTAATAAATCAGGCATTTGAAAATAAATTACTACAATACCCTTCCCAATAAACTCCGTCAGGAGAAACAAAAAATATTCTGACTATTGTAGGGAATTTTAAAGACACAAAACTTCAAAAAATATAATGAGAAGAGTAAAGGGTCATTCCATGTCATGTGAGTTCCCCGCACAACTATCTCAGATTTTGATGAAATTTTACAACCTAAGTCTCACATGATTCAAAGGAACTTTTATAAAAATGAAGCTTCGTAGGTGAAATACTTTTAAGAGATTTGGCAGTTTCTCCTTGAGCAGTGTCATTGAAGAGTATGAATATAAGATTTTTGCAATTGGGAGATGCAATATTCCATTCTCACTTATTGCAAAACAAATGAAAATTAGCTTCTTTTCAATGAAAAGAGCAGGTTTTGAAGTTTTCAGAAAAGTTTATTTGATAATCGAACAGAGGCATGCAGCCCAAAAAATGCTTAAAAGTGAAGTCAGGTTGGCAAAAATTTAACGTTCAATAATAAATCCAGAGTTTAGTGTTGCTTAGTTCCCTCAGTATTTAATTAAGAAAATTGAAATTTGGCACATAAGATCTCAACATAACAGCTTTTTGCTGCAATTACATTATTTATTAACAAAGATTAAAGATATATTAGTTGCACCAAAACAAGTGGGAATAGTTGTACAAGTAAGCTAATTTACATTAGTTCAGAGATTATGGTAAAGGACATATTGTATCCCAAAGAAACATAGTCATACTCTTTAACAAAGTGACAAAGGGGCAATCAAACCACTTCAACCCAAAAACCATTTCACTTATGAAGGTACAAAAACATCAAAGTTCCTTTAAGATTTGTGGAACTTGAGCAACAAAATTTCATCAAAGTTCATGGTGCAAGGTAGTGAAGTTGAGGGCAAATGCAAAGGCAGCAGCTGGCTCTGACTCGAATTCGCATGGAGAGACTTTCCTGGTGCATTGTTAATTTTCTCATTGCTATCAACTCAAAAATTGTACATTTTCTCCACAAACATGAAAGCACGTATTTTATTGGGTAATTACATCTAGAAGAGGGAAGGGCAGCCCGCCCTGCATTTCCCTGAGAAACTACCATTGATGCAATCCATTGAATTGAATTAATGCCTTATTTTATGTGGTGAGACCCGGGCCATCAGGCCCGCTCTTCCGTCTCACCACGCAAATTTCACTACACTCCATTCACCAACTAGCAGAGAAAGGAGGTATTTCTTGGGCGACGAACAGGCGATTTGAATTTTGCTCAGAGGCGACATTTAGACTTGAGCATCTTTTAGATGCAAGTAAATCTACTGACATGGAAGAGCCGGCTTTACTTCCCCTCTGAAGGAAGGCATACGAAGGATTTTTTCGCCCTTAAAAATCCACGGTGTTGATCTGGTTTGAACCTGCCAACTTGGGTATAACAGTTCGATATGCTAACAATTACACCATCCCCCCTTGCCTCTCAATATGAGTGTCTCCTACACAATACCTTCAGGAAATATGTTCCACACTTTGAGGACTCCCACCAAGTTGTCGATGTCACTCTGGATGCCCTCTGCAACCCCTGGGTACTGAATTTTCATGGCAACTTCTTGCTTGTTGGGCAGGACGGCCAAGTGCACCTGCCCTATGGAGGCAGCTGCAAACGGTTTCTCTTCAAATGACTGCACTTTGGTTTTCCATTCGGGGCCTAATTCAGACTGCAAGACTTTCTGGAAGAGAATACAGCATGAGAGTTAACAAGTACTGGGATGTGATGAAGAGAAGACATATTTTCAAAAATACACAAGAAAGAATGAAACAGAGAAAGAAGGAATTGAGTGAAAAGATAGTCAAGGAGAAAAAGAAAAGTTGTATGAGAAGGATAGCAAATAAAAAATGAATGAACGAAAAGAGAGAAAAACAAGCAATTTGAATAGAGAAAATACAAGAGTACAAAAACTAAGAAAGAAAAAAATCTATGAAGTGAAAAACAAAAAAAGAAAAGAAAAGAAAGAAAAATCAATAGGTATCATCATCATCATCATTAGTGAAAAATTACAGTCAGTTCAAATTTATTCCTGACTGGGCACTTCTAGTGCCTTACATGTTTTATTAACCCGGGAGTGCCCGTAATAGGTAGTCTCATGCCAGTGGCCACAATGTATCTCTGAGATATAACTGCAACTTTTTGTGAATGCGAATGATCTGAAAGTCTATTTACTGAAATAGGTATTTTATTTGGTTTGTACATGTCCCCCAATGCCATTGTTAATGAATCCTGCACTGTAGAAACCTTATCTGAATATTTATATTAAGAAAGGTAAAAATTGACAAGTACATGCATAAAAATCATTAAACATCTTATTAAACATTATTAAATACAATTTCCACAAATAATTTTGGCATGTACTAGACAAATATATATTTAAAACTTACAAAATATTTAGGAAGTCTTTGTCTTTTTTCCATTTTGCAAGGTTTGCATTATTTAATTTCCCTACAGACATCTCCTGTGCATTGTTTTACTCTTTGGGAAGAAATTGTGACACTTGATACTAGATAGGATAAATTATTACATTTTCTAATTGGGTACTTGTCATAGACATGACTGAAAATAATGCCATGATACGTATCGCTTAGATCAGGAGCTCACAATGCACTGGTGCCAGTGCACGCAACACATTTGGCAGATATCCTGCAGCACAGCAATCAAGTTTCAACATGCCCATGGAAAATGATTCAGCTAAAAGATAAAAATACAAGGTCAAGCATTCTCAAAAAAGTTCAATGAAGGAAAGAGATTCCAGAACTCAAGAAAACGTGGGCATGTCACACACAGTTTTTGTGTAGCTTCATTGAAAAAAATTGAAATCTATGCACTGCTATGGATGAGGTTGTTTGCACCTACCTCTACTTGCCATGATGGCATGAAGTCTGCTGACTGCCTGACTCTTTCAAAGGCCTTTTGTAGAGGGGGACTAATGATGCTACTGTCCTGTATGCTCAGGATTTGGCCTATCTTCAAAGCAGCCCCTGAAAGGAAAATCAATCAAAAAAATTAAGATTCAGTAGCTTCATCTCCTGGAAAAGTAAATAAAACCTCAAGAGCAGCTGGATTATTGTTATCTGCCCCAACCTGTTTGAATAGTCTGAGTAGTTTAACTATATTATCCCTGGCCTGGATGGTATGGTAACTGAAAATCATCAAATGTTTTGCTTCTGATTGCTGTGATAATTTGGAAAGAGCTAAATACTATGGTACCCCAACATTAATATTGAAAACAATTTTCATTTTCAATTTCAAACATTTCATCATCAAAACAATTTCAAACAATTCAATAAATCATTGTTATTCTTAATAAATATTTGAGCTATTTATCCAGTTATGAATTTTATTCTATACTCATTTATTCTGAATTCTAAGTCAAGTTTACAAAATGTATTTGGTTGTTGAACCTAGTCATTTGGAAGATAAAGTACAAACATGTTTTGTACTGGCTGTTCATTTACATTAAAAAAATGACACTAAAACATATTGATGCACAAACATACCATGTAGGTCCTACAAAACATAACTTTTTTCCCATTTTCCATCTTTCAGATAGTTCCAAATTATGAGACTGTAATAACTTGTAGTATAAGAAATTTAAATTAATATAACAGATGCCTGCAAATGCACCATGATTCCTATTTTAAAAGTATTCTACTTTAAAGGCTGATAAAAAGTTGATTACACTTTTTTATAAAATAATTTAGAATAATTAGTCGTATTATATGAATACAGTATTGCAGTTTTAATACTATTTTGAAGAGTAAAGGGTACAGTATTCCTCTTCTTTTATATTCCCATCAATAACAGCTTGATATTGACAGAAATTATTCTTCCCGTGATATTGTTATTTAACAGAGATTCAAACAATAGTTTTTAATTAGGTTTTTGAACTTTACACACAACCTCACAAAATTGGATTATTTTAAGATATTGCTAAAAACCACATATTTTCATTCACTTAAATTTTGTTCTTTTAAGCTTTTGGAGTTTATCAACGATATAAATACTACATGATATTTTGGGGATATCTTTTTAAGAATGAGAATATTAGATCTACCAATCTCCACAGTATTTTCTCAGAGAATTTTACTTAACTCATAGTCTAAACTGAAAGATGTAGCATTTGGTGTCTAGACACTAGAAAAAAACATGAAAACTCTAGTATCATTTTAAATAAAATACTTTTTTGAATTGTTGAGACATGTGACAGACTGGCGAACTGACTGACAGACAGCTGGCCAACAGACTCTTACCTCTGACTTTGCATAAAGTGTTGACAATACGCTCTGCATTGGCTGGTGTCAGGAAAGTATTTTCTGAACCACCTTCAGCACCTGGTTGCTTGTCCTTGAGGCCCAAAGTGCGTCGTGTAAATTCAGCAGCAGCTCCTACACCGAGGCCTGCAGCCAAACCTCCAAACGACATCAACCGGCCAAGACGTGAGGATGGTACCTTCCGTTGTCTTGAGGAACTGCTGAGCTATTGACAGATATCACAATTACTGACAGGGCCAGAGCTAGGTCTTGGCAGACTGGACAACTACCCACGACATGGAAAGCTGGGAGACCTGAAAGTTTAAAACATGGAAGTAAAATTTAGTTACCAAAAATAAAAAATGGAAAATGAAAAGAAAAAAAAAAAGAAAAAAAAAATGTAGTCATAATTTTATAAACCATATAAAAAATTGAAATAAATTTTCAATTAATATGACATCAGCAAAGATTCTGCTGATTATTACTTCACAATATTGTCATCAAAAATATAAATTTGGTTTCAGGGTATTAAGTTTCACTGTTGCTGTCGTCGTTTTTGTTGTCGCTGTCGTTGTTGCTGCCATTGTCGGTTTCGCTATCGTTATTATTATTATTGCTATTCTTATTATTATTATTATAATTACTGTTGTTGTTATTATTATTAGTAGTAGTATTATTATTACATTTATATTGCAAATTTATGATACTGAGTTTAAAAGTAGATAGATAGATTGATTGAGGTTTCCAGGAACATCAACTGATATGATCGTCAGTCCTATTAGTGTAGCATATGCTTTATCCTGTGAGGTAGGCAGTGTTCCTCCTCCCTCCTCTGGATGGAGAGACAAGTCACTCGAAGTAAATTTCCCCCTTTCCACGTATCTTCCCCAGTGGGGCACTGTCCCAGATGGGGCAAACTCTAAGCTCCCAACTGGTATAGTAGAGTTGTGCACGCAAGTATGTATGTGTGTATGAGCGCAAGAGGAGAGTATACGCTAAGGAAGAGGAAGGGAAGTTCACTCATGGTCTGTGACCCATTTGTACTGCTCCGGCATTTGTCTGGTATTGATCAGAAATACCTAGGGAAACTACTGATCAGAGTAGCCGGCTTCGAGAAGTTTCCTCCAGACAGCACCTTCATTTTATCTAGCTACATAGCTAGTGTCAAAACTCTACCACCATCGGTACTCCCTAGGACTTCCCAGTCACTGCAGACACAATGAGCTAAATCAGTCAGTTTTAATTTAAAAATAAAATGAATAAAATATAGGCTTAGATTGGACATTTTTTGATTAGCAGTTTAGTGGATTTCAGTTTTGCGTCAGGTCCAAAATTGTCTATCGCATTGACACTGATTTCTAGTACATTTTTCAGTCAGCAATATAGATGTTGCTGCAAATTCGCGCATTACACCTAGAACGTCTTTATTCAATCATTTCTTGTTTTGTCCCAACATGTCTTGTATAAACAGCAATAGAAGTCAGAAATTCAAAAATAGGATATGTTTACAAAATCTAAATGTTTATTTCTTTCATTCAATAAGATATAGTTTAGGCATATTTTCAAACATTTATCTGACTAAAACAAGAAATCTTAATAAATACATGATATTTAAAAATGGAAGTAAGGTCATATACATTTCAGAAACGTACTCAATATTATTTCAAATTAAACAACAAATCTAAACATATTATTAGGATTTTTAAAGTTAGTGCATATGGGTACAATAATTTGAAATTAAGATTACAATCAAATATGTATCTATGGATCTTTATACCTTCTTGAATACTTATCATTTATCACTTCACTGAAATGTAAATGATGGAAAGAATTATACTACCACTTTGTCAATGAACACAAACCATGATGTGTTTGTAAACCCTGAGATCTGCAGTTGCATTATTTATTTATTAATGAGGAACATGCAGCAGACATCTGAGTGAACCTGTCTTGTAGCAGAGAGGCACGTATAGTGGCACAGTGAGAATGGACTCCCCCCAGGTCCAGACAATGAAGGCACAAATTCACCACTAATAGTTTCTATTCATTTAAAAAGAAAAATAAATATGAAATAATTATATGAGTTGTCATTGCCAACAATATTGACAATATTGTTGGCAATGACGACTCATATAATTATTTCATTGTAAATGTCAACAAAAACTCACCACAATATCAATACAAAAAATGAATATATTGAATGAATTTTAATTATTTACAATCTTTTGCTGATACTTGGAGTTTATTGTTACACTATAATGTATTAACATTTTTATTTAAAAAAGATTGGGAAATAAAATTATTAATAATTTTGTTTCTAGGATGGAATCTCAGTTATTTGCGATTCCAATTACCCAGGGTACCTATTGAGTGGAACAATCGTTCAAAAACAAATAATGTTCTAAAGCAAGTCAAAATTTACTTTTCTAGGTTAAATGTCTAATTCAAGGTTCAATGGTGTGAATAACTACTATCAAAGGTAAAATGAAGCCGTTTTGACAATTCCATTGTCTAAACATTTGAAGAAAATAATTTTAATTTATAATTTTTTGCTCTTTATATCTTCAATTTTTTAACTTCTTGATATGAACAATAATATTAATAAGGAACAATATGTTTTGAAAGGTAAGGAAAAACTATCAACATCTCATTTACATTTTTACATAAATTAACAAATAAAAATTACTTTTAAATTAAACATAAAATAATTTCTATGGCAAGTCAGCTGGAAAAATTGAGTTAGCTGGACATGGTAACAATAGCACCAACTTCCTTTTGCATCATTGGGTATACATTAACTCTAAATGTACTTGTAAAATATACTTGACTACTAAATGTACTTGTACCATATAATACTGAATTATTTTATGGTACATAATTTTTCAAGTTTCTTAAAAAAGGCACCAAATCACATTTCTTAGAATTATTCAAATGTGAAATCGCAGATATTCTTTGAAAAAAATGAGAGTAAACATTCGAGTCAAAAATCACAGGCTAATATACATTTTTTTCAGAACACAATATTGTATTATTTAGAAACAGTTAGTAGGCTGAAGATGAAAAGTATTTATTATTATCCATTACAGTTTCACAGCGTTTTACAATGACAATCACACTCTCAAATTATTTTTGAGAAAAGTTTTTTGTTTTTTTTTCCTAGGATGAACATAGTATCTCAGGCATTGAGAAATAACACCAAACATTTTTGAAATTTCTGAAAATCATCCCTAGAAATGAACTACAATGTGGGAATATAATCAAATGCTCATGATTCACAGACATTTACTTACTGTCTGTCGTTTCTTCACCCAAGTTGCACCAGGTTTCTTAGTACTATTTGGAGATGGTTTAGCTGCACTCTCCGGGACAGCAACATCAGCAGTTTCAGTCTTTACTCTACTTTCTACTTTATCTAATGGCTTCTGCTTAGTGTCATTTTCTGGAGTTTTTGTTCTGTCAACTTCCTCCACCTTGACAGCCTTGCCTGGTGCTTGGGAACTGTCATTTTGTTTCAAGTTTTCAGTTCCTAAATTTACTGATGATGCATTGTTCACCACCTTTTCAGATGGCCCATTAACTTTTGCATCATTATGAGTTTTGTGAGCATCACTGTCAAACTTTGATACTGATAGAGAGTCTTGTGGATACACAGTACTGTACAAGTTTAACTCATTGATTTCTGCCTCTGTTGTAAATGACTCTGTGTCTGGCTGAGGAATTACACCACCTAGTATCAATAAAAAATAATAAATTTGCCAAATTAATACAATATTACATATTCACATTTTTCACTTACCGGAATATTTTACATAAGCCTTCACTCCCTCCCCAACCATAGATGCTCTCTCCATCAACTCTGTAAGTTGCTTTGTTATATCCGTCTGAAAGAATGACACTTCACTATTAGGTCCTAGCTCCCAAATCGTGTTACTATTATTTCGTAAGTGTTGACATTACCTGTACGTTCCCAGAATTTAATGTGTTCATGATAGTCTTTCCGCCGGTATGTCGCAAATCTTCAGCCATTTCTTTCAAGCTGGAATTATTCCACACCTGTTTTATTTGAGATTCCTGGAGCTTCACTGTCGCGTTCACGACGTTTTGCAACCCACGTAGTATTGCCGCTACATCTTGTAAACCCAGACGTGACATATTTGGTAAGGGAATCAGAATCGTATATAACCTCTTACACCCACTCAATGAGCAGTTTCGCAACAATTAATCACTAAGACCCGCCAAATAAAAAGCAAAAAAAATGTAGCACACTTTAAAATTAATGATTGGCAGGTTTTAGATACGTAACCATCATCAGTAATACGACATAGCTTATCTAGATTAAAATTAAAATTTGTTGACTTCAGTAAAACGCCATGATTCTCAATGAAACCAAACTGTTCAAGTTGTGAATGTTTTATTGCAGGTCTACAGCTTTCTCTTGTAGATTTTGTACTTTAACAAGCTACAACTTACAAATAATTAATAATTAAATATTTTATTTGTAAAATGGTAACATTGTGTAAATTTAAGGTTGAAAATTGTCGCTCAAGTGATATTTATTTACATCAGTCCATGCGAGGGGAGGCTCGCCATGATCATATGGGCGACAGGAGAGACGTCATTGGGAACAGCTGGTTGGAGAGGTGCTCCAGCAGGTTCAGTCGAGTTGTGTAAACTTTGATCAAATTTTTGCGAAATTGCTCTGGTATGTGGGATATCATACATATACTTAACTTCATATGGCAGCGAACTTAAGATTATCTGTATAATTAATGTAAAGAACTCCCAAGGAGTTCTAAAATATTTGTAATTTGATATGGCACGTAGGATGGTGGTAAACAAAGGAAATGCGTAATTGACATGGTCACATTGACTTTGTTTTTTTTTGTTGAATAAGTATTAAATGACTGGAAAGATACCAATATAAAAATGTGATATTGATGAAAATGCTTCTCTTTCTGCATTTTTAAGCTTGTAAGTGACAATGGGGCGCATCTTTTTGGATCACATCGGAGGTTCACGTCTTTTTTCATGCGCATCCTGCGACACAATTTTGACAAATAGAAGTGAACTCATCAGCACACGTTTCACAGGAGCTACTGGAAGAGCTTTTTTGTTTAATAAGGTTGTCAACTTAAATTACAGGTTGGTTTAATTTATTTGCCTATTTTTAGATGAGTCATTAAAATAGAGTGAATTTAATTTGATGATTTTTTTATAGTGAAGTTCAAGATCGAGTAATGTTGACAGGTAGGCACATGGTCAGAGATGTATCCTGTAAAAATTGTGATGCCAAACTTGGTTGGATCTATGAGTTTGCAACCGAGGAAAATCAACGTTATAAGGAAGGGAGGGTTATTCTTGAACGAGCTCTTGTAACCGAGAGTGATGGCATTGATGAACACATGGGTGATGATTGATGTGCTAATTCTCAAAAAACAGTTGAGTTTTGAGTTTCTGCAATCAAAGCAGCGAAATACAATGAGAACGTTGCCTTTGAATGCTTCCTTTGGGATTTGGGTGTGTAGTTTTCAAAAAAGTGTCTTCTGTTTTGGGCTCTGAGATCATAGTAGTACAATGCAGAGACTTTTTTTGTTTTGAGAACTCTAGACATGTTGACCCTCATATCCTCTTCCAAAAGGTTTTGGGTCCTCAGTGGCATTGTTTAAGGTATTAGTAAAGAGCAACAAAAATATTTGGAAGGGCCAAAAGGAAGCAGGTTTTTGAATGTCCTGTCTTGAAAAATTGTAGAAAGAACGTTCTGTAATATTTTTGTTTTTTTTCAATATTTGCATCATTCCATGTAGGATTGAACTTACGGAAGTATTTCTCTATATTAAATTTTGTTCTTAAGAATTGTGGTTTACTAAGCATGAATTAATGTAGGAAGAATGAATTTTTTGTGTAATAAAAATGATGGTAGGTGATTTGCATGGGTAGGTTTTGACTGCTTGACAAAGTCAAGTAAAGAGTTTGCATCCATCTGTGTTCTTAGATAATTGTTGGATATGGAAAGTCAGTCATGTTACCATAGTTTCAGATAGTCTTTTTAATGCATTGTTCATTGGTGTGTCTATGGACATTTTTCTTTCATTTACCAATAACTTCTTAACATCAATTTTAAGAAGCATTCTTACAAAATAATGTAGGAATTTTGTGGCTTAACACAGATCAAAATTCGCTGTATTAAATAGGTTGTCAATAGTTAGTACAGTGTAATTCATCTTCTATGCTGATGATCTCAAAAGAAACTTCTTTTGCCAATTTCTCTAAGAGATATTTTGAGACTGACCATTTTTTTATTAGTTTTCATACAAATTGCTATATGTGAGGTAAAATGGGACTGAAAATTCTAGGATCATAAGCACTGATGTCTCCTTTGAGGGAATTCTTTTCTGAAAATGAATTAAGAAAGAGAGCAAAGGGAATATATTGTCATAATCACTGAATAAGTATGTCACCTCTCATCCATTCATTCTAACTTGTGATATTAAACTCATCTAATAAATAAAATTGTCCAGTCTATGAGAAATATTTGAGATAGGTAGTCATATTTGATGAACATGCTGATGTTTTTGCCCTCTCCCCATTAAAAAATATGAGAAAAATAATTTTAATTAAGTTTGTAAACCAAAAAGGATTCTGGAATGGTTCCATTCTACTCCACAGTCACTAAAAAAAAATTGAACTTGGTGTGTACAAGACATGTTGCAATATACATACACGAAGCATAGCTTCATTAATTGTTTACCAGCAGTGAAATAGATGAGAACCTTAGAAAACAAAGTTTCTCAAATTTTGTGTCAGATTCTTCACTGTTTTTCCTTTGGAGATATATATATGTATAATACAGAAGTAATTATATTATAATGTATTTTGTTATGAAGATAAATGTGTGTTTTTGACATTAATTGGAGAATAAATTTTATTTAAAAATAATTAACAATAAGTACTTGTGTTTGCTTGAGTACTCCTATTTTCCTTTGCTTCTGTGAAAAGTACAGTTCTCAGGATGAATGAAAAGTTATGTATATTTAAATGTGAATTTAGTGACCAGTTGCATAAAAAATGACCCAAACAGTTTAAAACAGTGACCTATGAAATGTTGCCGCTAAGCCTCAATATGCGTGATGATTTTTTCAGTATGACATTAATCATTTTATGTTGAATTCAGAAACAATCTTTTTATGACTTTTACTTACAGTTTGTTTACAATTGTACCATTTACTGTTAGTATATTTTAATTCTAAATAATATATTTTGTGGTTAAAACTTTCTTTTGTATTTTGATGGTGCTGAAGTTAAGTTTTAGAGATTGCTTAACATACAAGCACATGATGAATATTGACATCAAAGTTCTGTTATTACATTTTCTAGACCATAATAAAATTTATAATCTACATGTAAGTGCTATATTTCATAAAATATAACTTCAGTATTCAATATCCATGTAACACTCAAGTATGTGTTGTCTTATCAGAGCCTTGATGAAGGTTAAACACATCTATATAATTGTAGTTGGATAACTTATTGAATGAAATTCTCAAATCTTCCCATAAACAATTGTTTATCATGGATAAAAAAAGATATTTCAATGACATAATGCATAATCCATCAGGAGACTGGTCTTCTCATCTCTTCAATGTATTCATACTGTTTCTTCCTTAAAACCTAATGCAACGGCACAACAGCAGATTATTGCAGGGACCCTCTCCACAGCATAAGATGAAGAGGTATAGCTATTAAGGACAAGAGGCTCTGCGAAACATTTTTGAAATTTTGGGTTGACTCCTGTTAGATCTTTCAGCTGAACATTGTTACATGGTCAACAAGTAATTGATACTCAAAGTATGAAAATAAAATTTAACATTTTTCTCGTTTTATTGATTTTTATATGCTATTTAAATTACTTTTTTTTATCATATGGTGTGAATAAAAATGTATCAAGAAAACAAGGTAGAATTTTCAATTATTGCCTATTTTGTATCATTGACATAAGTAGTTCTTCGGCCATTATTTTTAGGCTGATATCACTCACAGAGTATTAACACTAAAGACTTTTCTTCATAAATTGTTGATAAAATTAATGCAATTAATATAATAAAAATCTTGCAATATTTTTAGGTTGAGTTGTGACTTCATCTTCAGGTTACTTTGTTCTTGTAACCGTAAGATGGATCCATAGCTTAACCCCAAAACATGGCAAGAAATTACCTATTATGAATGTTACCTTCTGAGCAATATTTATAAAACATTTTATCAAAAAACAAATACAAAGTCATATTGAAGAACAAAGACAAAGTGTTTAAGAGTTAGTTGATTTATGAGTTTATTCACAAAGTTTCTGTAATAACAACTATCGTAGCTATCTTTTAGCCAAATTGTGTAATTGATAGGTTTTAAACAGAGGTTCTTTCCCAAAAATGCATACGCCGTTTAGATACTCTCATCTCTACATTCCTTGATTACTGTAACTTTGAAAAGAGACATCTGTTCCTCACTTAAAAGTAAACTATGGTTTTTATCAATTGTGTAGGCGGAGAAGACATGAACAAATTGCGATCAAGAAATTGAATTTTGATGTGTTGAGGTTTAGAAATAATATTATGTTTGTAATAAGTGCGTAAATATATATAAGCAAATGTAAAATTATTCCATTTAAACAACTGTTGTTAATAAATGTCCTTAGTCTGTAATTGATTAATTACTTAATGCCAGAGACTTGCAATTTTTAAGGACATTGCTATACTTCTTGACAATAAAATAAATTTCCATTACAGACGACCAGGGCAGAGGTGCTACTGCAATTAGTTAATTTGGATATTGTTACTGGAAGAAAAGTACAATATTTTTATTTTTTTGTTATGACAATGAGTGGCTTGGGTCCTTCATTCTTTTCCGGCCAATGTGTCTCAGAGCATCAACTGATGTCACGGCAATGCCTGTAACCGGGAGGTCATAGGGTTGGAGCTCCGACAGTGCTAAGTGTTTCAACACCAGCTAGGACGAATTCAACCGCTGTCTGGAGGACAATTCCAGCGGCCTGATGGGTAGTTTTCCGTGGTTTCTTCTAAGAATACCAGAGCAGTACGCTAACAAACGGACCGCGAGCGATCTTTCTTCTTCCTTGTACTATTCTCCTACACAAACATCGGGAGATATAAGCTTGTCCCGGTTGAGTGGGTGCCCCGCTGGTGGGAGATATCTGATTGGGGAAACCCCGCTAGCCAACTTGTAGATCGGCGCTGGATTTCCTCATCCAACGGGTGAAGATCACTGCCCGCTCCCGAGGGGAAAACACGAATTACACTTATAGGGCTAATAACTTTAACTCTGAAACACGAAGTAATCATAGTTATGTTATAACAACGTGCCACAATTTTTAATCAGTACAGTATAATAGCCGAGGTGGCCGAGGGTGTGCATACCAATTCAGCGCTTCAGTCCCAAGGGTCGCGGGTTCGAATCCAACCTTGGGCATGATGGTTTGTCACTTGTCACTCTGTTGTAGGTGTCGCATTCTGCTGGCCCTAGATCGAGGATCCCGCAAGTTCCTTGGTGTCTAGTGTATGGTTAAATGTGCGTCTCGTCGGGGCGTAAAGGGTAACTGTCTGTTGGCTCAATGAAATTCCTAGGGACGGTGTAACATTTTACCAGCCTCTGATCCCCCATGCTTGACGCAACCCGCGTGGCATGCATGCACTCCATGTTGCAGTTACCTCTGCGATGACCATACCGATATTAATATTTGGTGAGAAACTGTGAAGTATCAGGAGAAGAACGTGGATACAAAGAAGAAAGTTGCAAAATTCCTTCTTTGATGTAAGGTAAAGGCAAAAAAGAAAAACAGAAAAGACAGAATATGGAGGAGGCAGTGTAGAAAACCATGGAAAAGAAAGAAACAAAGGAGGATGAGAAGAAGAAAATAGATCTCCTGATTTAGCCCAAATGTGTGTAATGAATCATGCATTAAATATGCATTCTTATTTCTCACTAATGAAACCATTTAACAGAAGGGTCATAATAGCTAGTCTACACCAATAAAATTCAAGTGTCTGTCTGTGATTTCAAAATAACTTTTTTTAAAAAAATATTATATTGTTATTTAGAAGGCATAAAAAAAACAATTCCCTTGTTTTTAGTAATTGACACCCAGGCTCTAGGACAGCTAAATCAATTTTGAAGAGGTTTTCACTGAAAGCTAGAGTAATTTTTCAGGCACAACTTAAGACTATTTTCTGAAATAATAATTTGTTATTATTTAAATAATGATGTTTTTTCATAAGAACATGTATAAGAAAGTTCTAGTAAAACCCTCAATATCTCAGAACTAGGACAATGTGGCCTCTTATTCTACTGAGCCCATCATATACAAATGCAAATCTCCTCTTTTATTCTGATCTTCATTACATTTTGTGCACATGACCTTCAAGACAAGAGTTAAATTACTGTTTATATGAGATTAAATAAAACCAATCCCATCTCCCTTTCCTACAACTTACATAAAATTTAAGTGTGAACTCTTTTTTTTTTCCGCGAATATCTCTAGTGACAAAATCATTCAAATTAATTCAGGGTTTCTCAAAGCCCTTAAAATTGACTACTATATGCCTTTTCAAAGACTCCAATAATACAATTAGGCTATGAGTGTTTTGAATATCACTATTCCAGAAACATACCACAAAATTAATTAATTATAACAAATTTAATTTAAGGGTAACACTTGTACATCAGTAATATAATTTAATTATTATAATACATAATAAACAATGACAATTTTGGCACTTGCATAGGGGTGGTCATGCTACATCGAAAATAGATTTTTTTTTTTTTTTAATTATATTTTAATTAATTCTTTACCAATACAAACATAGAAATGCTTTGTTTAATTCAAAGGCTGCATTCTGTAGTGTGTCTTCTGAGTCTTTATTATAACTTGATCTGCAAATAATATTGTCACTATTTTCTGGTTGTTTGTTATCTTTATTCTTGCTTGAGTTTTCTGTTTCCATGTTTTTGTCATGTGATTTAAGTAAAAGTTAAAGAGTAGCAGTAACTGTGTGCATCCTTGTCCTAGACCTTTGTTGGTCTTCATCTGTTATATTGTGCCTTGGCCATTTTTTATAATTATTTTGGAATCTTGGTACAGGCTCTGTGTATTTTTGATTAAATGTTCTGGTACTGTTTCTTCTTTCAACATTTCCCATAATTTCTACATATTCATATTGTCATGGAGCTTTTTGTAGACAATGAACAGAATATATGTTGATAAGTTATGTTATTTCCTTTTTACTATAATCTCTTGGAGTGTGAATATTGCATCTATTGTACTTCTCCCCTTGCAAAATCCACATTGTTCTTCCATGATTTTTTCTTCTTCAATATTGATTACTCTTTGTCTTATTGAGTTTGCAAATATTTTTGATACATTATAAACACTTATTTTTATTTATATACATATATAAATTTTTGTACTTAAGTGTTTTTCAGTAGGTTGGTAAAATTCTAAGTTTAGCAAAATGCTAAATTAGTAGAAGTGTCTTAGTAATAGATATTTTTACCTTCTCACATACATAGGACATAAAATGTATTGTAATGCTGCAGCAAAAAACTGTTTTTCGATAGAAAAAATAAATTTGCAGGCCAAATCGTGTTTCAATATGAGTTAAATTACTTCTTCTAATATGTAGTGTAGTCACAATCCATATTTTATGGGTCCTTGTTACAAAAAAATTGGTTTGCAGCAAAAAATTGTTCATTTGTGAACAATGCCAGGAGCTAAAAAATAAGCAGAATTTTCACCAAAGTTGGCATTTCCTGATTGGTATGATGGATGTCTGGGCCCCTTTTTTACGAAATGGATATTTTGATTGTGGGAGGTCACTTTACACGAAGCCTCATCAACATTTAAAATATATATATATATATATATTTTTTTTAATAACTCCAAAGATTGCTTTAATTTTTTTTCCAGTAGTGCAAGGTTATAAAAATGGTGTAGGTCCAATTTTCATTGAACTCTGAATTTTTGAAACTTGCCAAAGTTACAAATAACATGAGAAGATAGATGCTGCTATAGCTTCACTAGAGTCTTCTTTAAAATGGCAATATTACTGTCCTCCGTTGATTAATTATTAATAGTCATTTTGTCTTTAACATGCAATTTTCTTGTTTATTTCATCAATTTTGTGTTTGGGCTGGAAAAGTTATGTTCTTGAAAATTATTTTCACATTTTTTATTATGTGAAATCTATGTTGAATTTCAATATTGTTTACAGAGACAGCTCACGTTGTACCTACATGTTTTGTAATAAATGTACAAGATTCCTTTAAAACAATGCTTATTTCATTGTCGTTATTGATAAGTCTATAACAGAGCAATTTTAGTTTACTTAGGGAATTCTCTTTTTTGTTATTCAGTCAGAGGAAGGTCAATGGATGAAACCAATAAAGTATTATTACATATTTAATTTTTAAGGAATTAAGTGAACGGAATTGAAACAAATATTACGTATTATTGTAATATAGTATAGTTAGAATTCTAGATCTTCAAAATTGTGTGTACTCTGAAAAAGTCATGTTTTTTCATTATGCAATAAAAATGTTAAAAAATGAATATGAAACACACAAATTCATTCAATATTTTTTCCATTTCATTTATCATTAATGTTCTTAAATAAAGGATATTATCAGTATCATACATAAAATACTTTTCAATGAAATGAAAATGTAATATATTGAAGCATGTGGTAGGGTAAACTAAGAACAAATGCAACATAAAACCTGAGGACAGAATGTTTTAACAAAATACTTAATCATTCATATTAAAAACAAAGAAAACTAAAATGCAAATGAAATGTTCATCACATGCTAATGTTTTTATAAACAAATGTTTTTTGAAAATAATACTAAAAACTAATTCCCATTCCTATCCTAAATGAAAGTAATTTATTTTAATGTCAGCAAAAGCAAACAGAGGAGTTTGTGTATCCTTTGGCATAACATTTTCTAATTCTATATTACGATAGTTTTCTGTTTGCAAGTTGTCTTTTACATAGGAACAAACTATCAGAAATCATTATAAAATTTCAGTTTGAATTATCTCAATATTTGCTTCAGTTTAGTTCTCAAATTAGTAATTATTTTGTCATTTTATGATATTCTTAAAAGTGATACCATGGAAAATGTTGAAGGGAAAACAAATTTGAGGCCTATTGGTAGAGTTTAAATTCTAATTCTCAAAAAAATTCTTAGCATATATTCTATAATGTTAAGGCAGATTAATTTGGATTTGTATGATGCCCTGAGTTGTTTTACTTGACAGAATATTTCTTTTAGCAGATGTTGATGTTGTTTTCACTTCAGTTTAGTTTCATTATTATTACAAGAAGATAAAACTAAGGTTATCATCAACAGGACGTAACAAAACTCTTAGGAACTTGAAAGTGGATGCAAAAAATAAACATGTATATATTTAAAAATCCTTTGTTCACAGAATGGTGACTTTCCACTTCTATGCAATGGTACTACTGTTCTTAAATGGTGTCCTTCCACTTCTATGCAATGGTACTAACAAAAAAACAGTGATATTGATTTCACCAGTGCCCCATATCAGGAGATTTTCATAATAAAAGCAACAAACACAAAATTTAAGATCATTTTGAGATTTCGTAGCAATTAAATTGTCTCATAATTGAATCAATTTTTTTCTTGACAAAGTACTTTTTAAAGTGAAATTAGAATATTTATGCAGTGCATAGGCTGATTTAGAATAGTAGTACTATTATAGTAGTAGTACTAGTACTAGTAGTAATAGTACTATAGGTTGATTTAGTAAAATATGGTATTCTTCTGGCCAGGATGTCCTTGTATAAAAAAATCTTACATAACCAGAGGTTGGTGCTTTGGAGCACTACAGTAGTATAATTAAGCAACAAACAACAATTTGGAGAAAGTTGCAAATGATTGCTACCAGATCACTTCAAAATGGCTCAGCTTGCATGGACATGAAACAATGAGCAAACACTGTGCATGCAAAATTAATCCAGCCATTAGCGGTTAGCATTTGAGAATGAATGTCATACATTGCTTTGAAATTTTAAATTGTCAGTCTGTTGGTAATGTGAATACTTTAAACACATAATTATAAGAGGGGCCTGGTAGCCCGAGGTTGCTAACACTGATGTGCTGTAGCTACCTTGTGCTGAGGTCCTAGTCAAATTCTGCTGGGGGATGGATGTTTGTGTGTCTTTATGCAAGATCCCCTACCCTATAAAAACCAATGGTAACTACAGTGGTCACTGTATGATCTAGTAGTTAAAAATCAACTGTCAATAAAAAAATTTAAAAAATTATAACATGAGTAACTTTTTGACATCCACATCAATTACTTATGTTGGTCAATTTACTGTTTCATTGATTTTGAGGAACTATTATTTAAAGCAGTTTACCTTCATTCTGCAGTGAAGAGGCAAGGATGTTTTCATTGGGATTACTTTTATCACTTGACAGTACTTCACTCACAACAAACATAATAATTAAGAAAACATTGTTAAATAATAACAATATCACAACTACAAAAATATCTTAGATCAAGAGTATGTTTATTATAATAGATTATTACATTTGCCAAATAGCAGGCTACAAACCAATAAAAATAAAAGCACATCAAAAAGAGTTAATTTGCAAAATTTCACAGCAATTCACTTCATTATTAAAACAACACATTAATAAAATCAACATCTATGTACAGTTATGCAACACACACAAAAACAAGCAGCCTATATGAAAGAGGAGTCGGCAATAATATGACCTTTGGCCAAATTTAGGATCTGCCATTTGGAGTTACTTGTGTAGAAAGGTTTTTAAGAACAATACATGTCTGGCTTGGCCAATACAGAATCTGGAATACAGCACATGGAGGAGAAAGAACTCTTATCTTAAACTTGCTGCCCTAAGTAAAAATTGGTTAATCTACCACGTCTTTAACACTAAAAGACAACAATGCTGTTGTCCTCCCTACAAACACTGAGAGCTGTCACAGTGACTGCTAAAAAAAATGGTTAGTTGATTCATTTATGTTTGAGGAACCTGAGTAGTAATGCATGTCTTTTAAGAATATATTTTGGATTTACACAATATTTTTACTTAATATGTATCATATTTATTTACTTACTAGATATTACATTTCAAACACACAATTAATACTTGTATCTCCAGTTTTGCCAAAAATAATTTTTCAGTATCTTGCACAAGGATTGTTTAACTGTTTTTTTTTTCTTGCAATAGATTGGAATCGACTACATTTGTCATCTTGATTATCAGTCAATCAATATACTAGGATACACATCTATAGTTGAAATGTGGGCTGATCGGGATAGCTACCCCCTATGTCAATATTAATAGTTACATACGTTTCTAAGCAATTGTTTATTTTCCACTCGCTTATTTATTTTATGAAAGTGTTTTTTCATAATTCTTCTTCTTCACATATATTGATGTAAGTTGAAAATTATTCTTAATTGCATTTCTAGTGATTTTAATGGTATTGGTTAGAATGAGTGAAATTTTAAATGGTAATTTTTATGGTAATGGAGAAGTTAGGTGAGGGGAATTAACAGGTTAGTTACTTTTTTAAATGTCTATTTATTTACTACTCCCTTTAATAGAAATTCGCCTAAAAGTGAGTGTTCTCTTTAAAAGAAATTCTCTTAAAAGTGAGGGAGGTTTATAAAACAGCGAGAGCAGCAGAGCAACAGCAGGGGCGCGAAGGTCTCAAGAGCAAGGGCCAGAAGGCCCTCGTGAACATAGCACGTTGGATCCGTTGGGTAGCGATATGAATTAGCATGTTGCGAACCACTTGGTGTCAAAATGCATTGACAATAAAATTAGATTTCTAGTGTGAAAAATACGAATAAGTTCACTGAATCAAAGTATGTTACTACGGAGATTTATACGTTCAGGGGGTTTGGAAAGGAGGGTAGCTATTCTCTCGATCTACCGAAATGTGACTCCACTGAGTATATGGAAACATCAACAACAGAGCAAGGTGGTAAACAGAATTGTAAGAAATTCAGTCGCATCTCAAATACAGAAACAAGCATTAATTTGATTGGTGACCCATTGTTACAGATAAAACAAAAGAATTAAGCATTATCTTGGAAAACCAAGTTGTTTAAAAACAATTATACATCATTATTTTAAAGATCTCGAAAATATATTAGAAGTCACTAAAAATAAGCAAGATAAATCAATAAACAAAGGAACAAAGTGAAACTGAAACTGCTAAATGGTCTAAATGAATGTTTCTGTTATTCTAATGTTAAGCTACAATATCCAAGACATGATATTTGCTCTGATAAAGCACAATTTGTCAAAAGTCTTTCATTCCTGATGTCAAAACAATGCACCTGCATACAGATCTGAGTAGCCTTTATTATATCTTGTGCCCTTATTACTACACCTTGTATTTTAGGACAAATGCTTATTTAATTCCTTTAGAAGGTCGTGGAAAATAATTACAGATGTTTATGAATCTAAAAAAGACCTATGAAAGTATTTCAGTGCCAAAATTGCCCAAAAGGACAGTTGATGCCTATTTTAATGTTTTTATGTTTTTAGCCTAAAACACATTATTTTGAATCATCACTTTTTTGTGCTTAAAATTCCGAGTCTACTTATTACATGCTTGTTGTAAGAATACTTGTGTTTCAGTGCAGAGTGAATTTTGCGCAAAGAATTTGTTCGCACCAAATTAGTGGCAAAGGCTAGATTATGTCAGTGGAGAAGTTGCCGATATCAGTCATCGTTAGGACAGCATTGCAGCATTACCATGACTGGACTAGCGAGCAGAAGATTGGTATGTGCTCTAGAAGAAGTCATTAGAAACACTACAATAACAATTTCTAGAGCGAACATCTTGTACAAGTACTGTCAAGAAATTCTCAGTGGCACCTGACATAGCTGATATTCAAAGACTGAAGAAAGTCATTTCATTTTCAAAAAAGAAATTTCTTTAATAAATGAAACTGCTCTGTTCTTTTTAATGTTAATATTTTGAATTTGTCTGTTAACAATAACTCCAGTGGTTGCAGAATTGAAATCTGTATGTCAATAATTCTTAGTACAATATGAGCAGAATAGTTGCCGACTCCTGAGGAAGAATGAATAAACATGGAACACAACAATATCAACAATCTAGAAAATATCTTCTTTAAGTAGTATAATTACTTTCTGCATCTTAATGCAGAGCATAGGATTGTTTCAAGAGATCTTGAAGACAAGTTTAAGGAAGAAAGAAAAAAAGTAAAAAGTTCAGTCAGTCATATTCATGGCACTAGGAAACGACGGTCCAGAATTCCTAATGGTGGCAGGAGATGTATGCAGATGTCACTCACTGTTCATAACCACAAGTTGAAATTAAATGATCAAAGGTCAATAAAAATTACAATATACACTTACAGATATGTGAGCATTCAGTAAATTCCGCAATTGACATTTTTTTTCCCCACTAGACAAGACCGTAAGTGTGTGCAGTTCACATTTCCTGTCACATTTGGAGACATGGACGTTACATGAAAAGAATATCACAATATCACAGAAGTAGAGCGCACTCTGAGAACAGTGGGAGCGATGTGAATTCGGAAAGTGGTCCATCAAAACGGAGCAATGTGCACATTGGCGTCAAGGTACTGGAGATGCCTGAAACACAAAATAGAACATTTCACATTAATTTCATAACGAGGTCACAAAAAAATCTGATAAAATGTTACCACTACATTGAACACTGCGATTAATTTATATAATTGAGGTTCTGATAAAAACGAGCAAGGGATTTCTTAGCAAATGAAAACCTAAATTATTATAGAATATGATGAAGTAGTGCAATGTTTTAGCATGGATGAGTTTTAGCATTGACGTTCCTCCACTGTACAGTAGAACTCTGGTATTCCGAACTAATTGAAGGAGTGGTCTGTTCAAATTCAGAAATGTTTGGATTTTCAAAAACAAAAAAATGTATCATACATATACAAATACATCTATAGGATTACCAGACCCAATGCAATGACACATCCGATCTGAGAAAACGGCAATGTAGTGTAGTGATCCCATCATCACATCACATCGTCAAGCAGATACAGTTCCTAATGGCAAAAGAAGATTACAGATTTTGCAAGTTCCTCTAAGTGAAAATGACTGCTACATAAACATGTGATATACACCATAGTTACCAGTGCATTAAAAGTTTCATTTCAACAACTTGTTTCAGTTCTACAGTAATTGTAAAATCCTTTCTTTACCCTAAAACTAATAATTTTATGTATTTTTTTTTTTCCTCCATCTCGAATTTTGTTTGGATTCTCCAAAATTTCAGATTTGCAGGGTTTGAATTAGTGGGGTTTTACTATATTACGCTCTTGAATATCAGTAATGAGTAGTGTATCTACTTATCGGTAGTTAATTCTCCTCTGATCATATTTGTGGAATAAATTGTGCCAAAAATACTAAATGCCACATTTTCAATATAGAAGACTGACAAATATTAGAGTTATGTACCATTATTAAAGCTTCAGGGACTACAAAGCTTTAAAAGTTAGCCATTTTCTTTTCATGAGTAATAAAATCTTTAAAGCTCAACACGATAGTAAATATTTGACATGCCTTACATAGGAAAAGAGTGTAGAAATATTGTTTTTAAATTAGAAGCAAATAAGAAAATTATTAGGATTAATGATATGGAGGTGTCTTGAAAAAAGGGACTCTGTTGTAGACTATAATATTAACCTCTCACAAACTCAATTCTTCTTAGAGATCGCTTTAGATCTCTTAATTAAATCTCAAGACCAGCAAGTTAACAGAAGATAAAAATTAATACAAGAGTGATAACAGGATGTAGGTTGTTGCTTACAGACCTTATTTAATATGTCTCTATAGTCACTATTTTAAGATATTAAAAAATTTGGTAAAAGCAGAATGAAGTTACATTCCTGTGTATACATTTTTTTAATGTTTGCTGGTTGTAAAATTTTGGAGCAGAAATTGCTATAATGCTTAAACCATTTACATTAATATCATAATTTTAAAATATAATGTAAATGAAACATGAAAATGAGAAGAAAAATATGGCCTTTAAAAAAAATATGGCTCGTTCTAGGATTGCCATTCACAGAGCAACTTTAGAATATTCTAACTTCCTAGGTGATGAACAAGAAACTGATATGTTCAACAAACTCTATAAATGCCTGTTGTGAGGGGCACATTTCAAAGAATGTTAAAAAATAAAAAACAATGAATCAATGAAATTTTACAAAATAATAGCCATACCAGTCTTAACTTATAGAAGCAAATCTTGGACTCTCAATAACCAAAAACACCAAAGAATATATGTTGCAGATATTATTTTTTTTAAGAAGAGTCAAACTTAAGGTCAGAATAGAAGCACAGGTATAAGAACTGATCTAAACGTGTTTAATACATGTTTAGATCAGATCTAATACCTGTGTTTCTATTCTGACCTTACTACCAAAAATTAATGCATTCAAGAAAATCACTAATGTTGGATTGAACATGTAGGAATTCTAGATCATTCAAGAGGAATAAAATCAAAAATAAATTACTCCCAATGGAAAACAAGAGGGGAGGATGCCCATGGAGTACAAAACTAATCTTTGACAGTGAAGAAGAGAAAGAAGAAAATCAGCAATTTATCAACAAAGGCAAATGGAAAATAGATTACATAAAAGTATACAAATTATTTGGCAGAATTACTGCTATGTATGAGGAAGTTTCTCCCTCAACATCGCAACAACTAAAAAGAATAAAAGAAAGAGCAATGATATGGTGAGTCCAAATCACAGAAGTCAATGGAACATATGTTGTCCATTTTGTTCTTTTTTTTTCCTGCAAAGGATCGGTATTAAATGTGAGATATTAGATTTTCAGAATAACACTGTACACAATTTTTGCATAATCCATCAAAACCATTCCCTCAAGTTATGTAATATACGACTTCACAACTTAGTCCGTTGTGAGACAACATTGCTGGTATATGTAATGTAAAAATCACCATACCCAGGATTATGGTTTTCAACTTTGGCTCTCAGAATATTTGGTCCCAAAAGAGTTCCCAGTTGATTCAGACACTGACTAGCAGCACTTGAAGCTAGAGCATTCTCACATTCCTGAAAAGTACATAATTAAACATTAAAAATAAACATCTACACAGACAAGATTGTCCTTTTAAATTTAGTGGAATTACTTTCCAGAGTCTTAATGGACATCTCTATGGTCGGCACAACATAAAAGAAAATAAATTGCATGATTGTATTTTTATTTCATTAGAAATTTGAAAAGAACAAGCAATGCAAATGCGCAGACAGAATAAGACTGATCATTTTCCTCTACAGTGAATATTTTTAATTCAATTTAGCCTACCAAAAATACATGATACTTAACTTCTTCTTACTACTCTTGTTCATTATATTTTCAGTGCAAAAGACCAGGTTTCAATGCAAATTAGGAAAAAAATTCCATTCTAATTGGAAAGCTAAACTTTACACAGGATATTTTTTGTATAAAGATTAAATAATTACACATGCTTGCGTTGCAAACAACATAAACAAACCACAGTAATAAAAATCAACAAAGTTTTCTCACCAATGCATAAAATATTGCATCAAGAAACTCTTCAACTACACTCTTGAAAGTTTTCTTTCCGAGACCTTTGGCTAGAACTGGAAGTTGTTTGCACACCGTTTCCAAAAAGACAAGGTGGTGGGTGTAGTGCCTGTAGTGGCATGCTTCAGCAACCAGTGGCAGTGTGTTCATGACAGACCGAAGAGCGTCTGGGATCTGAGATAACTCCGACAGCAAATATACACACCTGGAACAATAAAATTTTGTCTTTATTCCGAGAAGTTGGGTTTCAAAGCCATTGTACATAGGAATGCTTTACACAAATGACCGTGAATTTTATAAATCCTAAATCTTTCAGACCATTGGATAAATTTTAAAGCATTTGTGTAGCTCCCAATTATAATTTTCTTAATTTAAACAAATACAGTTGGGTGTGAACCTATGAACTGCTGGGACGTTTGCTCTCAAATGTTTAAAAAAAAACAAATTTGACAAATTATAATTACTTTTCAGTGTCATTGTAGTAAATGTATTCTTTTTATAGGTGCTTGAAAACTGTAATTACATTTTCTAGATAAGTTGTGAAAGCAGTCATGTCAGCCATTTTAAATATGAGTTGACATAAAAGATTTTGAAATGTTTATATAAAGACATAAATGGGAAAAGTAATTACATGTCCTCAAGCCGAAATAGATTGGAAAGTTCCATTGATTAGGCTGCAAAATAATAACCAGATGAATTTTTATTACACCTATAACTAGAACCAGAGGAATATCTACAATATGCCAAACATTGCACGAGCCATGGGCACCACTCACAGATGTGCTTTATATAGTATATCCACTAAAACAAACAACAACCCTAATTTGAAGTATCCTGACAGGGACGCCAATTCTGTGTTTGCAATGGGCACCTGAATACCTAGATACGCTTTGGCTAGGACTGATCAATTTTGTTTTGTCCAATGTGGATAACATGCAAGTAAACAAATGTGTTGAATATTGGTTTATACTATAACCCCAAATTTATTAATCAAATGATTTTTAGAATAAATGTGGTGTTTAATTTTAAAGCTCATTCCACTTCCAAACATTTTACAAGAGAGACAAACATTTTCTCATCTCTACACATCATTATAAATTAACAGGATATGTTCTCACCAAGCTAGATTCGGTTTCCCTTTGAGGGATAATGAACAGCCCCTTAACATAGATAAGAAGCAAAAAATGCAATTTTGCAAATAATAATGAAATGAAATGATTTTAATAGCAAATACCTCGTTCTCAATGATTTTTCTCAACAATATAACTTTAGTTTGTCTTCAATTTTAACAGAAACAAATATAATTCATTTTTGAGAGTCATTTCTCTTTATATTTTTTCTTAACTAATCAACAAATAAATAGTAATTTATATTACAAATCAAGAAAGCACATCTTTCCATGAGTAGATGGCAGAGGTCATAGATGAGGCCAACAGGCCTAGTTTAAGAATCCTGTTATATCACAGAAAGACACATTTGTTTTGTGATGGACAAAATTTTATTATAAGATCTCAATTTTTAGACAATTTTTCTGTGTTGAACAAGAGTTTCTCTTATGAACAAGACAATTTATATCTTTTTTAATTTTCTTTACTACTTTAGTTCATGGAGGAAAAATATTGGAATCACCTCAACAATACAATCTCGAATGTTTGGACCAAAAATCCCTTGCTTAAGGTACGGAGCACTAATTTCACACACAGATCGGGATAACACCTATTAACATTGTTCCAAAGAGGGTAAAGAGGAGATTCATGCAATTCTGAACCCAATAGTACAGTGCCAGTCTGGAACGGAAAAAGGGTGTAATTGTAAAAACGGTAAAATTGAACGTTTTACAAAACAATTTACAAATGCCAAATAGTAACAACAACACCAAAAAACACCAAATTTATTAAATTTGTTCAGTTGCTTTCTAGGGTGATACCAATTCTGCTTCTACATTGATTTAAATTTTGCTGTGAGTTTTTTATTTCTATTTTGCAATTGTGCTGAAAATCTGGTACACTGCATCTTATTCTGACTATTGAGTTATTTCTGCTGCTTCATTGTGTAACACTTAACAAATCCATTACAACCAAGCTACAAGCACAAGCTACAGTCACAAGCTACTTTGCAATTGTACTACTATGGAAGGTTCCCAATGAGAACATTCTTCTTACCCATCAGCAAGTTCCCAGGGTTGCGATGGCCTCCTAAACTGGTGATCTGAACAACCTCCTCCACGACCCATTTTTGGAGCCAGAGAACCACATGAATACATCTAAGACAAGAAAAATAAAGATATGGTAAGATGATATTAAAAGTAAAGCCATTTATTTACCAAACCATAAACTTCCCCTTGTGTATAATTACAAAGAACAATCAATAATTATTAAAAAATTGTTTTTTATGTTTCAGAAAACAATAAATTAACTAATACTTCCCTTACAATAACATAAACAGTACCCTACAGTCTATTTTCTACAAAATTTAACAAATAAATTTTTAAATATGTAAGTAAACAAATTATTTCCCCAAAGATCAGTGAACATGTGCCATGAGAATTTTTATACGCTGTAGGTATTAGATGTAAAAATATGTTAAAAGGAAGATGAATTACCTGATTATCAGAATGTAATTCAATATCATTGTCACGCAGTCTTTTCACCACACTAAATGTAGCAGGACCTCGTTCCATTTCTGAATACTTCTCTGATTCATGCGGCTGATTCCTAATGCCCTTTAGGCCAGCGACAATCTTCTCCATTACGCATTCCAGGGCCTCTTCTCCATATGCACGCACAACATTTCCCAAAGAGCTAGCAGCCCCCTGACGAACGGAAGGTATTGGGTCTTCAAGATTCCTGAAGAACATTGGGTAGAGAGATGGGAGAGCAGGTCGCGATTCCTCAGGAAAGCATTGGATGAAATTTCCACAAGCAAGACATGCCGCTGAAACAAATTAGTCAAAAAACATCATTATTACTTTGGTTTGAATTGTGAGATGATCTGATGCTCATAACAGTCAAAAACTGTACAGTAGCCATTGAGGTTTCCATGCTATAGAATGTATGATGATTAATTTTTTATACCAATGTAGGGTGATAATTAGTGGCAGATTTTAATGAAACGTCTTTTTTTTCTTTTCCCTTTGGAAATATTTTGTTTAGAACAGAAATTAATTTTATTCTATGACATAATTATATGCAATTTTTTGTTGATTTTGAATAATAAGTCATTTTTTACCTTTTTTAATAATTTTTTCGTGATTTCATAAATTTTGCATTTCATTTATTTTAATAGTATTTGTTTTAAATAATATTTATGAGATGCAACAAACGTTCTCCACAAAATTGCTAAGTATCCTATTCGATTTCTTTGCTCAGAAATTGTAATGACAGCCATTGTTAGTATGTAATATAAGGTTCCTGTGATGCCTATCAGCACCATTGTCAGTTTGGCCAATTTCAGGATAACTAAAGACAAAGATTTCCTGGTAAAGAACAGTTAAAACCAAAAGTTTGCAAACTGAGTTCACTTGAATGAATGGAAGCAGCCTCGATTAAATCAGTAATGTATCCAACAGCTTGGGTTGTTCATTTAAACTGGTTTTGATTGCATTTGTTATGTTTTAAATTTCTCTTTATGCCTGAATCTAAACAGTTATTTTGCTTTACATATCTAAAATAATGGATGAGACTAATTTAGAAAGTAAAACAACTGGAGATACATACATATGTATGTTATAACATGCAAAATTCCAATTATACTTTCCAAACTTGACAAATATTAGGTTTATGTAGAATCTTTACATTTATATCATAAATATAATATTCACTTATATCCTTGTATAGAATGATTATAGGCTTTTCCATCTCTTTCATTAATGTAATACGCTAAAAAAGACATAGCCCACCACTTGATTTTTTCTTCAACATTAAGACTTAAAAATTTACTGCACATCTAAATTTTCTGGCCACATTACAATTAAAAATTCCTGAGTAATACTTTGGTCTCACCATCTCGGACCGGCCAGCTGTCATCTTGAAAGCACTGGACCAACGTGTGCAGCAATTCCTCCACGTGTGGTCGTACTGCAGGAGCCTTGATCTTCGCAGCCAGCTCCGCAATACAGGCACATGCAGCTTCCCGCACAGCATGATTGTCGCTTTGCGTGGCACTCACATAATAAGTCACAGTACTGTCGATAAACTTCTCCACAAGGTCTTTGCCCTTAGAGCCAGCCACTTGCCTCCAGGTCTCTTGGGAGTAAATTCGAACCCCTTCTGCTATGTAGTACCTGCAAAATTGTAGCCAAAAGAATTGTTTAAAACCCCATAGCTACTAGGCATTATGCAAGTTCTTTGAACAATCATATCATTTAAAAGTATTTCCCTTAATACAACAAGAAAATTAAATTATTTAGTTTCACACATCCCTCCTTAAAATCTGGCACCCTCAACATTTTTCCATTTATAAATCTAATTTTGGTATTGAAGTCCTGTCCCTTGATCTGTCACCATGTAGGGTTTCAAATACATCAGCAATATGTAAATGTCATCTTGGATATGACTTTGTTACTGTGTAAGCTTTGGTTGTCTTGGTAGCTTAGTGGCAAAAGCAAATGGACATAAACCAATAGACCTGGGTTCACTTCCTGGTTGCAGTGACTTGTGCTATGAACAATTTGACATCTAATGAAGATTGTACAAATCTTAATTTTTAATATATCAGCATTTCACAAATTTTCATAAATTATAAATGTGAGACTGCAAGTTCCAAAAGTATTATCAAGGAATTAAATGTAATAAACTTTAAATTCCTTTTATGAGTTAAAACCTTTATGAGAGTTTTATGAAATTATGGATTTCTTTATAGAATGAAAATGTAATGAAATGTGTACCTGTTTAAACACATTCTTGGCAAAAGATCTCCATAGAAGATTTCTCTTGTGTTCTCATTTGGCAAGGACTGTAAGAACTTTCTCGTAGCCACAGAAGCGGCCAGCCGCACCTAGAAAGATAATATAAGGGAAAGAATGAAATGTGAACCTATAACAAATATATAACAATGAAATGCATTTTATATGTTAATGACATAATATAACCTGCAAATTGTTATAATGTTGGTTGCCAAGTATACTATTAATTAATAATAAAATTTACAGTAAGATTTCACTGATGGACATCACTTGTATTAATGATAAGTGTCTCAATTAAGTATTTTTCTTTAGTTGCTCACTTTATTGAAGAAAACACCCATTACATTACCTGCCTTTTTCAAAAGCACACAAATGAACTTTGATGAATTTGAGTCACTGGAATATCTCATCAAAATAGAAGAAACCCACAGTAAAAAGAAGATGAGCAGGCACACTATCCTCCTAACTAATCTCTGAACTACATCTATTGTTTGCAGCTCTGTATCATTTGCATTGAGCCTCTTCATGTTCCACACATGCTCAAAAGAACTGTTCGTTACATTCTAAAAATGTTGCATGGTGACCTTTTTTTCTAATCATCATTTCACAATCACCCTGATAAAGGTTAGAAAAAGAGGGCGAGAGAGGGAGTGGAGTGGGAGGAAGGGAGAGGGGGAGAGGTGGGGAAAAGGAGAGGCAGACAAACAATAGCATACATACAACAAAATAGTAGACTACTACATACTTGGCTCCAATTATCTGCAAGTCCTTTAGTGAGATGACTGCTGAACTCGTGACCAAATGTAAAAATTGGGTTTACTGCACACACACTGTCCCTCGATTCCAAATCTGCAACATTATTACTGTATTTATGTATATTTATATGTATTATATTTCATATTGCAAATAAAACCACAAATGTTCATATTTATTATATGTGCAAATAAACAAATATGCTTTTGTCAGAAACATGCTCTTGTCTTTCCCAGCTTGTACTTTGTTACATAATATTATACGTCCCTGTACTGTATACTTATTATTACTTCCTGTACTGCATTGTCTTCTTAATTTTTTTATTTTCTAATTTCATTTAATTAATTCTGGGAGTGGTGTCACTTGTCAGCTATGTACTCAGACATAATCCATTGCAATTAGTTCAGGTATAATATCTACAGAATGTATTGTTAGTAATTTCAAAATTGCATAGGCTTGGAAGTTATGTTGAATCACCGTGAGTTCCCACTTGAGCGACCATCTGGGAACAACGGATACTAACAAAGCTGAGCTTCTGGCTGATAGGGATCAAAGGCACTAACTTGATTTCACATAAGACTGACTATGAATGAATGTTCAAGGAGAATTACTCCTCGCTATTAAAAAAATCACGAACAGGAAAATAGGTTCAAGAATTCCTATAAGTTTGTGGCATTAAGCATATGTTTTACCAGTTGGAGTCAAGAGTACTTAGGATTGTAATCCAAAAATCATCATTTGTAAGTAACTTGAAGTATGCATAAAAAAAAATAACAATCATTCTTGATAACAGTACCCACCTTCATCACTGTTTCCACAACTGACAAGTGATGAGCAAACGAAAAAACCAGTCTCGCGAACAAAACGATTGGTATGGGTTAGGGTCTGGAAAACTAATTCCAGAAGTTCTTCGTCCACAAAAGGCTGAAAGTTCGTCCCACAGCCATCTATCATAGCTTGAAGGCACTTAAGACTAGTCTCAAGGTTCTTCCAACCTGCAGTGTCGTGAAATATTTGAGCTGCCTCAGCACTATTCCGCTGAAAATTGAAATTTTATTTATGACAGGCAGTTGGCTTTTGTTTTTCTCATTATACACTGCAGTAAAGCTGTTTACATCTCACTTTATATCTACATCTAAATAAATAATATACTGTATTCAATATTATATTATAATGGTATTTTGAGTCACATATTATAGGACATAATAAAGCAGGAAAAACAAAAACAACAATAAAACAACAGCAAACAAAGCAATTTCTAATTAAATACTAGACGAGATTATGTACTATTGTATCTAATATAAAATCTCTACAGAGAAAATTTCAATGACAATATTAGGAAGAACATCTCATCATCAAATTTAGTTATATCATGAAGATTTATGTTTTGGGAATGAAGCACAGTAGAAGAATTTTGGCAAGTGAATACAATGCAATAATAGTAATTAGACATTTTACTATCACTCCATATGTTCCCATTAAATAGGAAATAATTATTTCTCTTTTGAGCAAGAAATAAGACTTGAACTTAAAATTTGATATAGTATTACAAGATTGTTTCCATTTTTGTAAAAGCTGGAAATGTTTTGATGAGGTAGAAAATTCAGTTGAAAGGGTTGGCAACTCTGTTTATTAATTTAGACTCAACAACAACAAAAAACAACTAGAAAACAAAATTCCATTAAGTTGCCTTTTAGGCACATTTTTAACACAAATAGACCTTCAACCTTCACTGTTTAACGCTCATTAGATATTGCTAATTTGGAACTGGGAGTTTTCAGATGGATCGCAAATCACTTCTCGATAATAATTTTTCCCCTTTTCAAGTGAAATTTATTACAGAATATAATCTATGGAATAATTGTGAATTATACTGTCATTACATCTCATCTTATTGGATCACATCATACATTAGACATTCCCAGAGCAAATTTGAAAAGAAAAAATAGATCTTTTGAGATAAAAATACAATAAACCATAATTTAATTAATTAATAGTTGCTTTACATTTAAAGCAGTCTAATGGTGAATTATTTATGACAAAATATGCAGAAAAGATATGGGATCAATATTTCATTTTCCTGAACCTTTTAATTTTCTCTCCACTCATGAAATACATTTCTCAAATGACCTAGAATGTTTGACTACTATATATCAGTTAAGTGTTTTGTTTGTAGAATTAAAGTTGGAGGATTGACGTAAATATATTGAAATTGATGCTTGCAATAAACTTGAGTCCGTATCTGAAAATATTCAAGCATTCTAAAATTGCTCTGTATCGGCTCATGGAGAATTAAACTAAGTTTAATTTCTTTATATTAAAAATACTTTGTATTAATCCATTTAATTAATAATATATCATAAATTACATACGGGTTTGAAATGAATGACATAATGTGAAGTAGGTACAGTAGTGATTTTTTTGACAGGAATGTGTTCTCCTGTCACTTCAACAAAAAAAAAGTAAAAGCTTGTGAAGTGTAAATTTAGTGAATTAACAAAAATAAATTTCCTAAATATTATAATACTATTGCTCTTATGCTATTCTTTGTCACTTTTATAAATTATTTTTTCATGAACCACAATTTAATGCATTAATTCTTATACAGATGTGAAAGTAACATTTTTTTCATATATTTCCATTAGTATTCGAATCTTAAATCTGTGTGGTTTATAATTTCTCCTTCTTTCCTGAGAGATAAGAAATATACAAAATATGTAGTTGGATTAACATACAAAATGAAGTAAGTTAACTTATAAAGTTTACAAACTCAGTTGTTTGTAATTACTTTTAGTTATAGAAGTAATTGCAATTAATAACTCCACACTCATAGTTTACTTCATGCCATGTTTCCTCAATTGTAATTTAAAATATTTGCAATTTACTTGTAGAAATATGCATATTATAAAAACAAGATTTATAAACAAGTATATGCTATATATTTCAAAGTACCCAAAATACATCGTGTAAAAGACATTTTATTAATATGTCTATATCCCCTATATAAAAAGTCTTGAGGAAAAAACTTCTTCAATATTGAAACATTTCTTAGGATTTTTCTTTAGAACATGAATAAATAGAAAAATCATGCTAGACACATGAAAGGCATGTCATGGCTAGTATTTTCTTACAAAGGATAACTTGATAAGTAAACAGGAGACATAAGAGCATAAAAGACTTCACTATGAGAGATCAGTTTTACATAACATTTTATGAAATCAAGTAACAATTTTTTGACATGTTTACATGAGATGTAAAAGACACATAGTCTTTTATGATATTTTTTAGACTTGTGTGTTTAAAATTAATTTACTTAACATTTTCATCTATTAAAAACACATGCAGAACTGCAAAATATTTAGCAAGGCAAATTGATTCACTTTCTAGTGCAGGAACTTGACACAAATGCATCCTTGTACTCAGACTCCCATGGAATGGTTTAGAACATAGATGTTTCCAGTTGCGTTACAGGTACAGAGGCATTACGAGTTTATGCATCTTCTCTAAACCCTGATCCATCGCAAATTCCACCTCTCCCAATAACATAACACTTGCCACAAGGGGTCCCAGGATTACTATGGGATGACGCTCTTGAGAGAACTAGTTTATAAATCCCACACATGTGCCAGCAGTCAAACTTCCTAATCAAGCTCCGTGAAGACACGGAATTTAAAAAGCTCGAATCACCAGGGGTCCCTGAACACGTGGCCTCTTTGGAATATTAAAGGAGCTGAGCTCCTGACTGATAGGGCAAAAACAACTTGACTTGATGTATAACTGATGAATGTTCAAAGAATTACTTCTCATGTTTAATGCCACAAAAGAAAGCTAGGAATGTTGTTTCACAAGTAATCCTGTAGAAAGTTGCAAGTATCAAAATTGACTCCAATGCTACCTCGCGTAATATAAGTAGTACAAAGGCTGAGACTGGCCCAAGGATTAGCTGTCGGCATGAGATTCATGAGCTGAATTGGGTGCTTTACGCTGAGCAAGGCTTTCTAGTGGAGCAATGATGGCCCTAGGGTGCCCTGAAAGAATTTCTCAAGGGAGCAGTTAGATGGTTGCTGAGTACAGAGATGGGTAAAAGTTAGAGTAAGAAAAGCATGGTTTTAAAGTAATAGAGATATTACTATTAGCTAGGTTATTTTTTTTTACTTCACGAGGAGCTTTGGCACCTAGCCCTCCCCTTGCTATGCCCGAACGCAAGTCTGGTTATTCCTGTGCTAGTAACCATCTGATAACCTGATATTGCTTGCACTAAACCACCTGTTTGGGCCTGATTATATCACCTTTGGTGAATTGGTAGATTGATGAAATGATGACAGTAATGAGGGAACAAAGACAGATACTTTTGATGCTCACTGTACTGAGTAAATACAAAGTATCTGACTCATACACAGAATCTGTGCACTTAAAGCTAAGCATAAATATAGCCATCTATAGCTAGCTATAAAA